ATGTGTATGTAAACAATGGCCATGTGTACGTTGTACCAAAACTCCTTCCAAGCAGGCAATGAGGGCTAATGTCCACATTTGTATTAAAACCACATTCATAGCGAGTTATCCAGTGACTAAAAGTGATGCTGTGGCATGACACAGACATCAATGGTTTTAGGCCCTGGATAGGCATCATGAATGATAGGGGTTTTATTTTACCTTGTTCAATATTTGAACCCATTTCACGTTGGATTTGGAGTTTCTTAAACTTCCGCTTTAGTATGGGCCTATGGTAAAATGTCAAAGCTGCCCTGTGAATTTCCTCACTCTGAGGTGTACATATGAGGTAAGAGTGGCCCAGTCTTGCCAAAGGAATAAAGAGGGATTTGATCCTGCTGTATCAGTTATACTATATGTTTATGCTCATTAATGAGTTGCCATTTTATTTTGATTGAATAGGAGTATATACAATTCAAAGCAATTAATAGATAAACAGAGTTTGATGGCAAGATGGCAGAATGAGATTTGGAGCATGCTGGTACTTCAAACCTCATCCTGAGTACAGACTGCTTCATTTCTGTCTCTTTTTTTATATTTAAAAAGTACATTCCCCAATTTACAGTTTTACTGTCCAATGGTTATATTTCTTTCTATTGACGAGGTGCTGAATCTCATTAAAGCTTTGAAATCTTAAAATCAAATAAATTGATTGATACACATGAATTATTTCCTTGGTCATTATCTCCATACCCACTCATTACTCTGTTTATTTATTGATTGATTTGAGCAGTTCTTGAGATTGCACAGTGCCATGTAACACGCATGTAGTATAACTGCTGATGCACATTATGCATTTTGAAAGCCATTTTCCCTCTTTCTGAGAATGCTTTCCACATTGCCTGACCTATTTATAAATCTGATTCTTTAAAGTGGTTCCACTTATTTGAGCCCCTCACGGAGCTCAGAGTCTCTTTATGAGTAAGACAACCTTTGCTTGGATTACAATGTAGTCCAAATAATTGATCCCACCATGGAGGAATTACCTGTAATGTGGATTTGTGAGTGAAGTCTGTGCACTTGCTAAGAGAGTCCTGCTTGTTTGTTATGAGGAGGGAATATGGCTCCACAAAAGAGTCTGCAAAGACATGCATGCTCAGCTGTGTGCCTGCGAGCTGCTGCTCGGCCTGCCTAACACTGGTAGTGAGCTGAGCGTATGATTACTGCATATCAAATGACCAAAGGGAAATTACATTAAAGGAATAGAAATGTAACAATCTGTGGGTGGTGTGGGCGAATTGTATGAACATTTTCACTGCTGTTTTTAAACTAGGTCACTTCATTGTGCTATGGTAAGCAAACCATACAATTGCTGAGAGGTATGACAGCATGCCTACATGTAGGAGTTATTCATTTACTCATACTCAGCACATATAAGTCTGTCCAGAGACCGCAGATGTGTACATGTTTCTTAATCTGCCAAAAGGTTATTTTTTTGTTTGTGTTGTATACCTGACAAATACAGTATATTCAAATCAAAAAGAATATTGTTCTCCTGAGTTTGTATCTATGAAAGATGCAGTTGAACTAGTGTTAGCCCAGTTATAATTAATTATTATTGGTAAATATTTTCATTCATATAGTTCATATAGTGTGATCATTCCTTTTAAACATCCAATTCAGCTATATAGTCTAATACATGTCAACTGGCCTGGTTATACAATATCAAACAGCACGTTCAGCATTAGTGGAATGGAATATACTGTTGTTTCCTGCTTTAGCTCACATCAAACAAGTGAAAAAATATATATATACAGTAACTGTAAAACAGACTTTTAAAAAGTCCATATAGATTGCGATACCATAGCACTATGTTGTGACCTGGGACTGCAACACATTTCCCAGTTTGTTGGTTCTCACAGTCTCCTGTCTTTTCTCTCCTGGTTTGGTTTAGGTGGTAGTCAACGCCTTGGTGGGCGCCATCCCTTCCATTATGAATGTGTTGCTGGTTTGCCTCATCTTTTGGCTGATTTTCAGTATCATGGGCGTCAATTTGTTTGCGGGCAAGTACTACTACTGTTTCAATGAGACTTCAGAGGAATACTTCCCTGTTGATATGGTCAACAACAAGTCCCAGTGCGAGGAACTTATTAGAAATAATTTTTCTGAGGTCCGATGGAAGAATGTCAAGATCAACTTTGACAATGTGGGAGCTGGCTATCTCGCACTTCTGCAAGTGGTGAGACATTTACTGTTGTTGCTTGTTTGGCTTCATTCTGTATACATGTATGGTGCATGTTAAGTATTTTCCCAATTTGCCTTACTTTTATCCATTTAATGTCCACTGTGGTATATATGTGTCATTCATTTGTGTTTTCTGTGTGTCTCCATGTCTATTTCTTTGTTTCTGTGCACAAGCTGTACCACATGCTGAAAAGGTGTTTATTTTAGATTGAGTATTCTACTTTTTCCATTATTTTTAACTAGTTCACCTGATTTTAACGATTATTTTCTGATTATAGGCAACTTTCAAGGGTTGGATGGACATCATGTATGCAGCTGTTGATTCCAGAAATGTATGTAATTTTATGATTTTCTTTAATACTGTTTATTGTCACTATTGACTGTAACTCAGAGTTCTCTCTGCTTTCAAAGTATCTTACAAATAATTCTAAATATTTCGAAGTATGATTTAAATAGTTTCAAGAATTGCACATGTATGCTTTATTCACTAATATGGATAATAGATTATATAGACAAATCTAAAGTGAGAGGGTTGGAGACCCCTGTTGTAACTATTGACTCTGAACTCTTTCAGGTTGAAGACCAGCCAGACTATGAAGTGAACATTTACATGTACATCTATTTTGTAATTTTCATAATTTTTGGCTCCTTCTTCACTCTCAACCTGTTCATTGGTGTGATCATTGACAATTTCAATCAGCAGAAGAAAAAGATAAGACCTATTCTATTTCAAATGATGGTTGTAGGCATCAGCCTATGATACAGATTATAACCAAATTTTGTCTTGTCTCTTTACTTTGGAGGTCAAGATATCTTTATGACAGAAGAGCAAAAGAAATATTATAATGCCATGAAAAAACTTGGCTCTAAAAAACCTCAAAAACCTATTCCCCGGCCTCAGGTGAGTTGTTTAGTGTTAATGATTTTTATTCTGAGGTTATAAAGGAAGGTCACTTTGCTTGTTTATTTCAACACGTGTACATTTGCTCTTTTGTAGAACAAGATCCAGGGCATGGTGTTTGACTTTGTGACACAGCAGGTTTTTGACATCTCCATCATGATTCTTATTTGCCTCAACATGGTGACCATGATGGTGGAAACAGACGATCAGTCCGATGAAACTGAGATGGTCTTGTACTGGGTCAACTTCATTTTTATTATTCTTTTTACAACAGAGTTTTTACTCAAACTCTTTGCTCTTCGACATTATTACTTCACCAATGGCTGGAATATTTTTGATGTGGTTGTAGTCATCCTGTCTATTGTTGGTGAGTGATTTGAGGTCAATACAGAGAGACCAATGCAATAGCCACATCTGAATATGTTTTTCTGTCTTGTCACAGGTATGTTCCTGGCAGACCTGATAGAGAAGTACTTTGTGTCTCCAACCCTGTTCAGGGTGATCCGTTTGGCTCGTATTGGCCGTATTCTCCGCCTTATAAAAGGGGCCAAAGGAATCCGGACTTTACTCTTCGCTCTGATGATGTCACTGCCAGCTCTGTTCAACATCGGTCTGCTTCTGTTCCTGGTTATGTTCATTTTCTCCATCTTCGGCATGTCTAACTTTGGCTACGTAAAGCATGGAGCAGGAATAGATGACTTGTACAACTTCGAAACATTTGGCAACAGTATGATAATCTTATTCATGATAACCACATCTGCTGGTTGGGATGGATTGTTGTTGCCCATTCTTAATTACCCACCAGACTGTGACCCTAACCTGGAGAATCCTGGCACCTCAGTGAAAGGTGATTGTGGAAATCCATCAGTTGGAATCTTCTTTTTCGTCATGTATATCATCATTTCTTTCCTTATTGTGGTCAACATGTACATTGCTATCATCTTGGAGAACTTTAGTGTGGCCACAGAGGAAAGTGCAGATCCACTCAGCGAAGATGACTTCGAGACATTTTATGAAATTTGGGAAAAATTTGATCCAACAGCTTCTCAATTTATCACTTTTGCTAAATTATCTGACTTTGCCGATACATTAGAGCACCCACTCCGTGTGCCAAAGCCAAACACTATTGAGCTCATTGCCATGGATTTGCCAATGGTCAGTGGTGACCGCATTCATTGCCTGGATATCCTTTTTGCTTTTACAAAGCGTGTGTTGGGTGACAGTGGTGAGTTGGACATGCTGAGGCAGCAGATGGAGGAACGTTTTGTGGCAGCCAACCCCTCCAAAGTATCGTACGAACCAATCACCACTACCCTCCGCCGCAAACAGGAAGATGTCTCTGCCAGAACTATCCAGAACGCTTACAGAGTCCACCTCATTAGGCGTGGAATCATATTCAAACGACACTTTTCGAGGCTTGAAAATGGTGGAAACCAAGAAAAGAAAGAGAGCACACCATCTACTGCCTCTCTTCCTTCTTATGACAGTGTGACCAAACCTGAGAAAGAGAAACAGGACGACAACAGAGAGAAAGACAAAAACCAAAAAGATGAATGGGAATCTAAATGTTAATGCTTAAAGACTATGATGATGAGACCTTGAACCTAAAATATGGGTCCAATAATTAAAGAAAAGTGCATATTTGGATGTATTAACAACAAACGGACAAAGATTGTTTACAAACACAAATGCAAGTGAGGCAGTGTGGTTTCATATGTCATCAAAGACAGCTGAACCAAATACAATCAGTTTATTGTGGAACTCTGCTGCGGAGAGTCTGTAATGAGAAACAGTAACTCAAAGTGTGCTAGCCAATGGCACACATTTCCTTGGGGACCAACTGCCACAGCACTGAATTCTGTTAATTGATTGGAGAAACTGCAAAGCCCTGCCTCATCACGTGTGGACTCTAGCATATCATTGCTACACGACCAGATCGTAAAGATCCTCAAAGAACTGTCAAAGGGGTCTACAGGAGGGTCAATACAAGTTTACCACCATCAATGAATAGAAAAACAGTAATGAACCAAGTAGATAATTAGGAAAAAAATCTAGCAAGGCAAGGGGAAACTCAGAACCATAGACAACCTTTTCCTTTTCTTCTTTTCTGCTATGTATAGCATTTTTAGTCCTTTCATCATCTTTGTTATACTGACATTGAAAAAGGTAATCGACATGGGCTTTCACGCTGACTAGTTTGATGTCAATGTTGTTGTTGACTTGAACAGGAGAGGAATTGATCGGACCGGGTTTCAAATAAATAATTATTGTGCTCATACAATGGATGCATGAAGGCATGTTTTGATCAGGAATCATGCATGAGTAATCTGAGTCTACAAGGCGCCTCATTTTCTGACCACAGCAGGCTTTCACCTGGAGGATTATGTGATATAATGGCAGGATAGATAATCTGGTTCTTGAAAAAAGATTCTTATGGTCTGAAAAGGTCTTCTAAACCACAGACGTAAGCACTTACAGACAGGTAGTCCTAGTCAGTAAACAATATTCACAATCATGTTTCTGGATGTGCTGCAAGAATGGTGTGTGTAAACATGGGGCTGATGCCTCTGTTGAGGACACGCAGATTTGAAAGCGCTAAATCTGGGATTTAGAGGGACAGTATGTAAGATTTGCATATGATAGTACATCTTTTATCTTTTGTCTTCAGGCACAAGGTCAAAATGTACATTTACATGTTGATGTGTACATGTTTGGCCTTTGGGTTGCCAAAGTGCCTGGGGGTCACCTTCATGTGTGTAAACTTTTGTAATGACTATATTAGACATCCATCCATTTTCTTCCCCTTACTCCATTTCTGGGTCGGGGGTTGGCAGTCAGAGCTGTTCCCTTACACATAGCACCAGCCCCTCACTGATCCTCCTGCAGGTGGTGAGTCCACAGGAGCCCTATATATTAGGCAATTAAGAGCAAATACTCCATACTGTTCCTTTAATCTTTGTTTGTTTGTAGCCTGTGTTTGTTACTTACAGTGGTCATGTTTCAGAAGTCAAAGATATTTTTTATGCCAAGGAATGAGAGAGTTTTTCAATAGGTGCTTTCCGGACAAGTGGCATTGGGGATGCAACATTTTTAAATATTAGGTTTTTTATTCCATTCCCTTTTCTTTTTTATCACTCAGCTTTAAAATGCATTTCTCTGTTATGCTGTGCTTTGGGACAATTTGAGTTTTGAGCTTTTTGAGTCCTCCTCTGATTTCCTTGTGATGCAATCCTTCTAGGAAAAAGTGAGAAAGTGGTCATGCCAATCAGTGAGAGGAGAATTTCACAAGAACAGACCTTGTCGTGCCTCGTGTGTGCGTACAGTGTGTTGTTATGAAGGGCTAGTGAGTGGTCTTGACTGCTGGATGAATTGACTTAATGGATTTGGTCTGGTCATTCAGGGAGGTGGAAGGGTAATAATAAACATTGTAAACCAATAAATGTGTGAAGGCCCTCCCTTCAGGGTTTAAGACTGACTGCCATTAGAAAAGCAGTGAGGATGTTTGTCAGGATGTTGAAAGTCCCATGCGTGTCAGTGTATCATTGTGCTTTTGTGGGACCTCTAAAACACTGTGTGGTGTTTGACCCAGACTCACACCATTTATCACAAACTGTAGGTTTTTAAAAAGCTGTCACCCGCATCAAAAAAGTTAGCCAGAAATGCAGGTTGAAAAGCCTAAACCTGCCGAGATTAAACCATCAGCAGGCCTCATGTAGATGCAGCTATCTGTAAATAATCTGTGGTTTTCATTGAAACCTGAGGAAGAGAACTGCCTCCTTAGATGATACTGCCATTTCTTTTCTACACGAGATTGATGATTCTATTTCCAGTGGACAGCTGAGGCTCTAACTCCGCGTCCATCACCACACCACTTTTGCCATTTGGTGTGTTTAACACTGCCTGTACCAGAAGCCCCTGTCTGTAAAGATATTTGAGGTCTGTTTACAATATGAGGTCTCGGAAACAGCATGGCTGCTGCATACTGAACCAAATACATTCCTGATAAAACCATAGGTGTGAGTACTTCACCCATGTTCATCTTGGATGTAACGTTTTAGAATGATACATTCACTCTGGAAGACATAAAAGTGAAAAAGACAAAAAAGAACTCTAAACATATAGTATATGTACAGTGCAGGCTATGATGTAAATGGCACAATCGCTAAAAAAGAACAAACTTTTTGAAAACTATAAATACTGTATCATATTTTATTTTACAAGCATGCTTTGTTGTGTTTTTTGTAAATATGAAATTTAAAAAAAGTTACTAATAATAAAAGATGAATAACACCAATAATATAGAACAGCTTCCAGCTACGCCGTTTGTCACATTTGTTACCTTTTGGATTTTTTGAGACACTTTTCACTTTGTTGACGGAAAATGAATGAATATAGATACTATATAATACAAAAGATATATACATGTATACATACATGTCTATGTGTATATATATATGAAAACTGTTTGACACATTTAGTTTATATGTGCAACACATTGAATGGATGTCTAAAACTTGTTGTTCCAGGAATAACTCAAGCAATGTTTCTGGAGCTGCTTGCTATGAATTGTAGCTTGTTCATAAGAAAGGATTATACCAGCACATTTGTCATGTACTGTCCATTCTCTCACTGAGGTCACAGTGACTGACCACTGCCCTGGACACGGCCATTACAACATACAAATACATCAAGCTTCTCATTTGCACTCCTTTTCTGTTGAATTATTTGTTTCCAATGTAACACCGAGTGGCATGTGCCTTTTTCTGCTTTTTCTGCTAAATTGGATGTAAATTTTAGCCCCAAAATATCAAGACATAAATGATAATTTAAAAAAAAATCAAAAAAAAAAAAAATCAAATAACTTCCAATGTTTCCTTACTGTGGATGGTGGGGTTTGGGTGAGCACAACATAATTCAGGGAGTCGGAAAAACTGCCGGAGATCATCTCCTCACCTCATATGAATATTCAACATGTGTGTGATGTTGACAGAAACAGCCAACTCAAAATATCCAGTTTTAGTGATGTGTGTCACTCACTTGGCTTGTGAAAAAGCAGCTTGCCTTTCTATAGTCTTGTTCTCTCTGTATTTATGTTTCCATCTGAAGTTTATTTTTGTATCAATATTTGAATATAGGATGCATTCTTTTTTTAGCATGGTTTATTAAAAGCATTTTTGTTTCTTTTGCTGAAAAAGTGCTTATCAAACTGTTGATATCATTTGACACCGTGATAAAGAGGATATACAATATGAGGTGTGTTGCACAACCACTTGATAAGAATATGAAAGATTGTCTTCATTTGAGCACGAATCTTTTTATTACCAATAAAACAGCCTTCCAGTTACACCATGTCTCACTGTTTTATCATTTTGTTGATCACAGTCACATTCACAGTGATACTGAATATGTATATGTTGAGTGTTGCAGTGGCTTGAAAAAATCTACATACCTGATGAACTTTTTCAGGTTTTACTTTCATTTATTTTGTGAAAGACCAGAAATAATGTGAAGTGAATGCAAAATGATACATTATTTAATTGAATTAAATACCGGCCTTAGTGGAGTTCACCTGAGTGGGATCTCAATCAATTTAATTCATGTACAACACGATTCCACAAAAAAAAAAAAAACACACGTTTCTCATTCAACACAGAATCAACGTTTGAAAAAAACAACAGAAGAAAAGTTATACAAAACAGTATTACTTTCTTGCCCAACATGCAACAAGCTTATGGGTTCTGCAAACAAGTTGCTCAATTCTAAAATAAATTAAATCAATTCTACTAACCTAATCACTTAGAAAAACCAACAATTAAATGCATTTTACAGTTAACAGTACATTATTTTGACTAACCAATTCACTGTAAGTTTGGATAATCTTAACTGTTTGAGAAAACATTCACCAAATGCCGTATTTTCTTTATACATTATCCCAAAATGCTGCTGTAGTAGAAACAGAATGTTACAGTGCAGTTGTGATTGGTCAGTTTGGATGTCGAAGTTCTGATTGGCTCGAGAGATAGAACCTTCTAACACTTCAAGTGAGCATATTACATCAATAACTTAATCTCGGCTAACACGTCCATTCTGCCCATTCTAGGGACAATGTGGATCCGCGCATTTCCTCCATTTCCTCCTCAAGACTTTCCTTTATGGTGCCGACATTGACTCGATTCTCTCTGTGTCTGAGCAGTGCTCCAGGATGCAGGCTGATCAGTGAGGTGGAGAAGGGGGGATAGATGAGGCGAGTGGAAGGGCTGGCGCACTGCAGTGCAGATAAATGAATGCAGTAGCCGAGGCTGAGTCAGCAGCACTGTTCCAGTTGGCCCAGTACG